CATTATTTAACATTTCACCCTCCAAAGAAATTAGGCTTATGATTCCCTTGGATAAGTTGAGTGGTAACGCCATCAACGTTCTTATTGCCAGGCAATACGCCACCCATGTTCATGGTGCAGTCCTCTTTTCAAACCGAACGATGGCTTGGTAAATTAAAGTCCGCCCTTAGCTAACTTCCCAATCAGATCGCTTGTGCATGGTATCGGACATCTAGATTCCTTTTGAGCAGGGTTTATTTTGTCCTTAAGCCAGCCATCCAATTACTGAGTCTTTGCATTGATCTTGGCATATGGAACTCTCCTCGGATGTATGATCTTAGGCACGGCATCGAACTTCAAGTGAATTTTACCTTGTCTGACCATGTTTGGTTTATAGGAGTAGGTTGACTCGAGGTCTTTTTTTGTTGTCAAGATTACCTTCTCAAGATCATTCTCTGCGCTACCCACTAAGAACGTTTTTAATATGTTGTTGAAGGCATGAAGCCACATTTGTTCTAGCAGGGGAACCTTATCACAATCCACTACAATGGCTTCCAGTGAACGCGAAGGTCGCGAGTTCGTGACTCGTCTTGGCCACCATGTAAAAATTGAATAGTAATTTCCAAATTTTGACCGAAAGGTATAATCACTATTATTTAACATTGACCAAGAAAAATTAGAAGCGTTTTTAATGATGTAAGTTGAACGAGAACGATTAGCATAGATTGAATTAGAAGATATTCCTATATATTTGCGCAAAGGTTCAAAGTTAATGAGAGATTTATTAACGTAAAAATTATATATTTTCTTAATTCTTTTATTAGAATCTTATTAATATTATCTACAATATGATTGGTGCCTGATTTTATAAAAGTGCAACAATTTTATTCTCTGTAATATTGTATAACTGCAATTATTTCATATTTATAATTAATTGATTTAATATATTGAGTATGCATTTTTTTTATATTTAACATATGATGTATGATTTGATTTTATAGTGCAATATCGTTGTAAATCTAATATAAAATATATTTCGATGAATATTATTTTATATATGTAATGAATATGATTTTAGATGTGCATTTTTTTAAAATAAAATATATGATTATCGTATAATACTATTCTTTTTTTTACTAAAAATGTAAAACGTTTGAACTTATTTTCAAAAAATAAGAAGTCATTTAAGGGAACCCACCCGGTCGAAGATCGGGAATAAGCGGACAAAATGGGGATATGGGGGCGAAGCTCCCATATAAATGAGGCCGCTATAAAAAATGCCCACGAGACCGTACGGTCGCCAGTCCGCCCCTGCAATATTTTATGCTATAACCTTTAATATGTGGACCGAAAGAAAATATAGATGGCGAAATTATATTACCTTTACATTTCACGAAATAGATAATAATTTTAATATTGTATTTTATACATTGTTGACACATCATGTCACTCAAAAACATACCACTGAAACTACTCTTACCGAGATAGAAAAAGTTGAAAAGGAATTTGATTTTGGGTTCAAGAAAATTCAAATGGTTAAGGATGCAGGACTCAATGTAAAGAAAAGTGTTCGTTTAGGAGAATATGACCCTCATTTATGTTTGAGACATGGATTACATAATCTAGTGACAGTCGATGGAATAAAAAAAGTTAATAAAATAGAAAATCTCATTAAAAAAATGAGAGAAATTTTAGTTGCCTTAAGATTTAAAATAGGGATTTTGAAAATATGAATGATATCGAAAATAAATATGTTTTGAATTGATATCATTTACAACGGGTATTTTAGATTTGGATGATAATGATCCTTTTTATGAAGATCGTCTTGGGTTTGATGATGACAGTGCAAATCAAAAATCATATGAGGAAAAACACAAAGCCTTAAAATTAAATGTGCCTACACGTTGGCATAGTATTTTAATAATGCTGGAAAGTGTGAGTGGCAATAACAAAAATTCTATAAATATTCTATTAAATAGAATGGAGAAACCGGATCTCAAATTATTTAACTCCGATTGGAACTTGATGCATGAACTTTTAAATTTTCTTAAAACCATCAAAAAAATTATTGAATTTTTATCCGTCCAAAAAGGAGTTACTGTAAATTTATTCTTATTATTTCGTAGTAAAATTAAAAATAATTTAATTGTAAAAGAATATGATAGTCCTCCCATAGCATCCCTTAAACAAAATGTGCTTACTAAATTTGATCATAGATTTCCAATAATCGATCTTCAGGTAGTATTTTAAAATACATAAATAAGTTTTTTTTATATTATATTTCTTTTTATTTTATTTTTTTACTTAGGTGTTAAAGCACTTTTAGATCCTCGTTTTCAATCTATAAACATAGTAAATGAATATTTAAAAGAAAAAAAATTAGCAATTTTTATATCAACACGTTACCTCTCTAAACGGCCGAATTAACCGAATATAGAACGACGGAAGTTGCTTAATTCGAATATCTTAAGTCATTAACTACGAAACATTTATCTATTCATAACAATAATCTGAAACAACATTATAAGAATATTATTCATTATTTGCGCCTTTAATTTAGAGATAAAATATGTAATAGATTTTTGGTAGATAAGAGCATTGGATCCAAAACCTTCAATATTAGTAGAAAGGTCATGTGCGTTCTACTAGTCGAACACACCCGGTGAGCGTGTTTTAATAGCTAGGCTCACTCTGAACTCTAAAAGATCATTATTATGCTCTATAAATCTAAATGAAATAATATTTATACATGATAATTATAACTAAATAAAATAATTAAATTATAGTTATAATAAGGCATAAATTTTATTTTAAAAGTGTTTCCAATGAATTTATAACTTTAAATAAAAAATTTAAGTTAGAAAAATATTTGACGTCACCGCCGATTTTAGTGGAGGCGTCTAAATCGATTGGCTGCAACCAGCCAATCGTTTTAAAAAAAGAAACGCCAACGCCGATAATTCTGCCGGCACATATGTCTACCTATATGGATTGCAATTGTTATTATTAAATATTTTTGGAACTTTTCTTGGATTCCCATTTGGAGATAAGCATCCTTAAGATTCAACGTTGAATATTTCTGTCCTCCTTCAATCTTTGCCAGTAAATCTTCCAAGATAGGTCCCCATTTAATAAGGAGCATCAATTTCGTCACACTTAACATTATTTCCTTTTATTCCTGCTGATTATTTTGTGTAACTCAGAAAAAAACGATACGTGGTTCGCTTATTTAAATAGGATTTTATATCATATACAATAAAATGGTACTACGCTATTTTCATCATTAAAATAAGGTTCTCACTATGGTCCTACCTTGTTTTAAAGTTTGTACAATGGTCTCCTCAAACATTATTCCATTTTATTTACAATCTTCAATTCATAATAAGATTTTTATATAATTTAATAAAATTATATACATATTCTTAAAAATCTTAATTTTTTGAATCTAAACATTTTGTTGTGCCTAAAATTATGCTTTCATTCCTGTTTATTATTTTGTAACTCTAATTTTATTATTCAAATAGGATTTTATATCTATCTAAAAAAATGAAACTACGACATTTTTATTATTTAAACAAGATTCTATATCTATTCACAAGTATCCTACTTTTTTTTTAGTTTGCCAATTTATTTCTCAGAACAATATTCCCTTTTATTCATGCTAATTGTTTTTTCAATTTCAAAAAAAAATTATAAATGATACACTATTTTTATTATTTAAATCAATTTTTATCATTTAGATATATCCGATTTTAAGGAGCTTACTTTTTTGAAGTTCGCCAATAGATCTCCTCGAACAATAATCTATTCTTGGTTTACTATTTTTATTATTTTAATCGTATCAAAAGACATTACATAGTGTTACATTTTTATTATTTAAACAAGTTTATATATCTATTCTTAATAGCCCTACTTGTTTAAAGCCTGCCATTTTGTCGGGTCGAACAATTCTCTTCTATCTCTGTTGATTATTTTGTATGATTCTCAAAAAAATATAATGGTATATATTTATTATATAAATAAAATTATAGAGGATTTTATATATATTCCAAAAAGATGATACATAGTACCATATTTTTATTAATGAAAATAAAATTCTATATCTACTCGAAAGGATCCTACCATAAAAAACTTGCATAATGGTTCCCCAAACAATATTTATCTTTATTCGCAATATACTTTTTATTTTGAATAATATTAGTAAGTATTTGTAATTTTTATTTTTCAATCTCATTGTTCCTGCTCAATAAAATTAGCTACTAAAAATACACTCATTTATATTATGGTATTTTTTATTTACCTACTCATCCCCATACCTATATTATGTTTTTCTTTTTTTATAAAACTCTGATATCTCATACCTTGTAATCCATCTCCATTTGTTACTCCCCACTATTTTTGTTTCATGGTCATCTCTGATTTCGGGCCATTTGTGATTCCCGACATACACCCTCCCTTCCTTGCTAATGTCCAGCTAGGGCGAAGTTCTACTTGTGACGTATTTGAATAAATTTTTGGGATAGATAGTGGTGTGGTGTTTGGAGGTATTTTTAGTTTCACATATATTTACAAGAACAGCCAAATTTCTCTTGACACTTAGGGACCAAAATAATGGAAAGTGACATATGTGAGATAGATCTAATGATAAAATAAAACTAAACCCCTCTCCCCAAATCTAAATTTTTAATTAATACATTATTGATATTAAATAAATTTTAAGTGGAATAGTTAAAATTTTAAAATTTCTTTTTATTATACTAATTATTATATCTATGACGTTTTTCAAATTGATATATATTTTCTATTATATTAATAGGAATGCAACCCATAATATATGATAAAATTTTTATAAATTGATAGAACTGATATCAAATATAAAAATATTTTATAAAATGTTAGAACTGATATCAAATATAAAAATATAATATTCTCAAAATTTTAACATTTAATTTCCTGAATTGTTTTTATTATATTAAATTATTTACTTACCTCGTGCTAATAATTGCTTAATTGAGGGGCGCACTAATTAGTAATTTGAATTTCAGAAACTGGTTCTATAACCCACATTAATTTGATTATCTTAAAACTAGTTATGTATTCATCATGGGATAATGATATATTGGGAAACTCGAAACCAATGAGTAATTCTTATACGAAAAATGACCGGAATTTTGATAATTGTCAGTTTGAGGATTCTAATAATTCCTCATATGTCAATAATAGAGAAATCAAGTCAAATAAACATAAACAGATGGACGATAGAATGAATAAGTATATTATAATATTATTTACTAAAGTATAATTTTTTAAGTGATCTATTTACCTTATTTATAAATAAAATACCAACGGAATGGACAGAGGTATATTAAATGGATGATTAAATCATAATTTTTATATTATAGGATGATTTGAGAAAGGTATTTTCTGAAATTGGAAATGTTATAAAAGTTCGTATTAAGCCTGCAAAACAACCTGATTGTCAACCATTTGGGTACAATACAATAAAACAATTCTTAAAAATCATATTAGGTTTATATCATATAAGACTGAACAAGAGTGTTATGCAGCCATAGATCTTTTGAATAATAAAATTTGTGAATCTTGTAAGCCATATCCAAGATTAAGAGTCGAAATTTCAAAATCAAAAAATGATGAAGCTACTTCAAGAGAAACTACTTCATTTCCAACAGAAACAATAAGCTTAAATGACACAAATTCTATTGACAAATTAAATTTGAATCCTGGTAAAAAATACTGCTTTAGGTAAAGTAATATTTTAATTATAAATATATTATTATTATCATAGGGCACAAACATGTGATACTAAGGTTTTTTTATATGGAAGTAAGAATTAATTTGTCTTTATTTATATTTATAACTTCAAATAGATATAAAAAATCCAAATGAAATACTACAGAAATTGAATGTAATATTGTTTTAATATTTAGATCTATAATATAATTTTAGATCAAGTCTCCTAGTGAAAATAAACTTAATAATTTAAAAAATAATGAAATGATTGATTACAATAGCAATAGTCTAAATCCACAAAACATGATCATGGAAGTATAAATTTTATACTAAATTACTTTAGCCAAATATATAAAAGAATTTATTAAAAATTTGTAAAAAAAAGTTTATTATATTAAATTCTACTTTAATGAAACAATTGCAAACTTTTTTGTCACTATATAATATACAAATTAAATGGGTCAATGATATATAAATATGTAAACTGTACTTTTAAATCCAGGAAGACATTCCTAGGGGTAAAAATTCATAGTGCTATTTGCTAATATCTTACTAAAAAATGTTTATCAATTGATAAATGCCCAGTCGACTATTTATACTGATTAATTTCTTATTTTTTAGCAGCCATTCAATGGGTATCAAAATTTAGCAAGAAATAACCCTCAAGAATATCCACCCCCATCGCTGAACATCAACAATTGTTTTTTTTGTGTGAAGCCTGGTAAAAATTTTAATACTAAAATAAATTTGGCTATAATTTTAAAATGAAAATTACAAAGTAGACTTTGTATGCTAAAAAATTCAACTAGCTCTGATAGGAGGGTTACATATATATTTAATCCTGTTTATCTCATTTGATGTCAAACACCTCAGTACCCACTTTCAATTTTGATAAAATTATATAGGTGTTTTATATTTTCTAGTTAGATTAAATCAATTATAATAGAAAAATTAGGATTTAAGGTACAAAGAAATCAATTTTAGTAAGATCAGCAGAGTTTGGACTACTTCATCAACATTTTTTTGTCTTGGTACATTTAAATGTTTACCTTACCCTTCTTAGCCCAAAATATTTTTTTAGATTTACCTAATTATTATATTTTTAATGTCTACATTTAATTTTTCCCCAATCTCAATTTGAGCTCATCTACTCCATGTAACAAATCAATTATGTTTTGATGTTTATTTGAAATTTATTCAGATCATAACTTGTTTGATTTTTTGTGAATTTACTATTTTATTTATAAATTTAGTATTTTAGCTAGATAGTTCAAATATATAAACTAGAGACCTGCAGAGGTACCATTTGTACAGCCCAGATTAAAAAAATTTTGGCCCGGCCCTGATTTTTTTCCAAAATATTTTTATGGCCCGGCCTGGGTTTAAAAATTTTAGGCCCGTCCAGACCAAAATATTTTGGGGGCCCGGCCTAGGTTAAAAAAAATTTTTTTTAGCCCAACTCGGAATTTTTAAAAATTATATTCGACCTGGTAAATTCAAAAAATTTATTATTTCGTATTTTATCATATTTTTTGGCGAGTATTATCATTTAATAAGCAAGTATATTAGCTAATGTTGTTAAACGGCTCGTTTTGAGCCGATTTTTAAAAACCGCTAACTCAATATTTTCGCCAAAAAAATATTGACTAAGCCTCGAAATTTCGATACTATATGTCTAGACCTTTGCTCCTTCTATAAGCAAAATTTTCAGGCTTGCATAATATTTTTCTGGATAAAAAACAGCCGTTTTTAAAAATCGGCTCAAAACGAGCCGTTTAACAACACTATTTTATTTATTTTTATTCTAACCAGATAATTAGTATATTACAAATTGTAAAAAAAATATAACATATATTATATAATAATGTATTTAATCCTTTGCGTATTTATTCCATGGCAGGAAAACTATAATTTTATTATTTAATAGATACTATGAGTGTTAGCTAGTAAAAAAAAAGCCTAGCCCTGCCCAGGTATTTTTTTAAAAAAAAATTTTCAGGCCTGGCCTAGGCATATTTTAAAAAAAAATTTTCAGGCCTGGCCTAGGTATATTTTAAAAATTTAAAATACGGCCCAGCCATGGTACCCTGGCCGGGCCTGCAGGTCTCTGATATAAATGATAGATATTATAATGTATTTTTAAATAATATTAATCAAAATATTAGTTTGAAATCCAAAATAATATATCAAATTTTAATGCTAGGATTGGCCCAATAAATTTTATAAATGACTGGCCTATAATTATCTACAAAAAATGGAATTTATAGATTTAATTAGGCAGTGGTTAAAATCAGGGACCGGCAGGCCTTGATACACATTCTGGGCCATAGTTTAATTTTTTGAAATACCAGGGCTGGATCTTATAAATTTTAATAAATATAATATATTTATTAAAAATCTGAACCAGGCCTGAAAATATAAAACCTGAGCCATTAAAATAGTACCTCTGCAGGTCTCTGGTTAAAATATGAAAATAAATTAGCTTATTGTTATTTTGGCGATAATATCAGGTCAAAAAAATGACCCAAGATTAAGTGGGATTTTTTCGGACTTCTATTTAGATAAGCTATATACTAGAATTAAATATATTTATAACTTTCATATAGTGTTGTTAATCGGCTTAACCGAGTCAGGTCAAACAGAGCTGACCCAAATTTTGGGTCGTTTTTTTAGACCTCGACACGAGCTCAAGCCGAAAAAAACGACCTCGACCCAAAATATGGGTCGTTTTTTCGACTCAGACTTGAAGTTTGGTTGTTTTTTTGGACTCAGACTTGAAGCTTGGTTGTTTTTCCCAACTCAGACTTGAAGTTTTTTTTTTAGGCCAATGTGTAAAAATATATTTTGCAAACATGTTAAATTAAAATTTCATTGAAGATGTACCATAGGAAAGTGACAATTGTCATAATCGTCATTTTTGAACTTTTTGAATTTTTTAAGGCAAATGGGTAAAAATGTATTTTGTAAACATGTTAGATTAAAATTTCATTGAAGATGTACATAGGAAAGTGACAATTATCATAATCGTCATTTTTGAACTTTTTTCAATTTAATTGAAGCAGATAGATAAAAATATATACTGTAAACTTGTTAAATCAATTTTTCAGTGATGATTAAAATAGCCATGTTGATAATTTATTTGGAATATTCTGAAGAAAATAAAAAAAAATCGAAGTATTGTAAAAAGTGGTTAATAAGATGCTACTTTATTGAAAAAATAGCGGAAACTCTTATAAAAACAGGCTTTGAAATACTAATTATAAATAAAATCAGTTTTCCAAAAATAAATAAGTATTTATATGAGATAGTTTGCCGCCATTTATCTTTTTTTCGGGATCTTCTACACTAAAATATGAATATAACATGTTTTACAAATAAGATTTTTACTATTTGATTAAATAGAGTTTAAAAATAATTATGACTTTTATCACTTTTCTATGGCTTTTATTGAAATTTTAATTAACTAGTTTATAATTTATATTTTAACCATTTTCTTCAAAATATTCCAAAAAAATTATCAACATTTATATTTTAATTTTTTCATCACTGAAAAATTGATTTAACATGTTTACAGTATATATTTTTATCAATCTGCTTCAATTAAATTGAAAAAAGTCAAAAATGACGATTATGACAATTGTCACTTTCCTATGGTACATCTTCAATGAAATTTTTATTTAACATGTTTACAAAATATATTTTTACCAATTTACCAGTTCAAAAATGACGATTATGACAACTGTCACTTTCCTATGTATATCTTCAATGAAATTTTAATTTAACATTACAAAATATATTTTTACCCATTTGCCTTAAAAAATTCAAAAATGACGATTATGACAATTGTCACTTTCCTATGATACATTTTCAATGAAATTTTAATTTAACATGTTTGCAAAATATATTTTTACATATTTGCCTTAAAAAATAAACTTAAAGTCTGAGTCGGAAAAAACGACCAAACTTAAGTCTGAGTCGAAAAAAACGACCCATATTTTGGGTCGAGGTCGTTTTTTCGGCTTGGACTCGGGTCGAGGTCTAAAAAACGCCGCATATTTTGGGTCGAGGTCGAAAAAAACGACCCGAACTTTGGGTTGGGGTCGCGACTCGCGGCTTTTTAACAACACTATTTTCTTATAATAAATAAACTTTACTTTAGTGACTAACTTTTATTTTGAATTTTATGCAGCTTTTGCCAAGAGAGTCAAAAAAAGTGATAGAATATATGAATAAAATTCATGATTTAAGAATGTTTATCTAAGGTTCAAATAATATAATAACTCATTATCCTTAAACAAAATAAAAATTAATTTTGCACATATATATTTTCTAAAAATATTTAGCTACTAAAAGATCCAAAAATTCAGAATTATTTTTTAGTAATAACTTATTTTAAATGACTTAGTCCCATTTGCACTATGAAGGGTTAATTAATTTCAAAATCAGAGATTTGCAAGATCCAGTTTTTTTATATGAATTATCTAGCCTGTCCCATTTATTTTTATATGAATTGCCTGACCTGTTGTTTTTTTGTAGGCCTAGATTAATTAGTCATTTGGCCCATAAGACAAGCGCCTTGCAAATCTCTCAATGATTATTAAATTTTATATTTTTAACCCATAGTTGATAATTATGATAAAGGGAAAAAATGAAAATTTTATGTCAAATTGAAAGTTTCAAATTAATCTTCAAAATGACGATTCAATTTTTTCAAATTTCTTTCTTACTGTATTTTTCATTTTCTCAATAATTAACACAACTGCCTTGTTTCCTCAAAAAATCGCGCTAGCAGGGAAAAAAATTACTAGAACATATATAACATATTTACAAATTTTTATCAAAACTGAAAGAAAAGGGCACTTTTTAAGAGTTTTTAGCTTTTTTACCTCTCTGAACTCATAGTCATAAGTAGAAAGTTATATATTTTATTGCATATTACATTGTTTCGATTCGAATTTTCATATTTTTATTTTCATAATATAAATATTTTTTGTTTTTTAATTGTAATTTTGTAAGTGGTTAATAATGATGCATTTGTACTACCTCGACCATGAGTTATAGTCTAGAAAAAACCAGGCCATTTGACAAAAACATGATAAAAATATTATGCTAAGCTGACTAAATCAAACAACCCAATAAATAATCAATTTTTAGGCCATTTTGTAAAAAATTTTTATTATTAGTTTTACGACATTTGTTTCCGTTTATTTTATTTAACATTTTTGTTTCTTAAATTTTTACTTATAAAAATTTGTTGAACAGATGAAATTATTTATAAGTTATTTTAATCATTAAATAAAGTCGTTGACGGTTATTTTTCCTTTTCAAAAGAAAACATAATATATTTTTAAAACTCACATTTGTTTTTTTTATGTAGCTTAAGCAATAAATCAACTTAACATTTTTGATTTAACATTATTATAATATATGATATCTGATTTGTATTTACAGCTCCGAGATAACAAGTTAAAAAATTATTTGGAAATTATATTTTTAATTTTAAAAAAATATCAAGTAAATAATTTGTTTTATATGGAAGTGTTTTTAAAAAATAATATTAATGAGTTAACAAAATCGCAAATATATTTTTATGTAAACCAAAACAAGTTTTTTGAGCAAAAGAAAAGCTTATCCCAACAAAAAATTTAAATAATATATTTTTGAAAAAACCGGAAAAAGATAATTTTTTTTATTAAAAAACATTCAGTAAATAATTAATAATTAGTGGTTAAAGTTAACTATGTAAACATTGACAAAAGAAAAGCTTATCCTGTAATAATTTAAAAACCGGAAAAGGGTAAAAATTTTAAATAGAAAAAATTTTTTACTTTTGTTTACTAATCGTTTTAAAAATATTGTTTTTTTGTTTAACTTTATTTTCCTGTATATTTTAAAATAATTTTCACAATAACAGTTTCTTCAACTTAAATCCTTTGATATTAAGTTATTCCATTACTAAAAATCATTTACAGCTCACAATTTAAAATGTTATTGCTTTGACATAATTCACTAATCTTATATTTTCAACAGAATAATTGGGTTTAAAGTTTTTATTGAATAATCATTAGGAAAAATATAAAATCTATTCATAATATTTACAATCGACACGATTCATTGTTTGATTTTGTTTACACAGGTTTTTGTCATAGGTGACGGAAAATTCTCATCTTATGCCTTTTCTTAAAGCGGCACACTTGACAACTATGTTGACCTCATTTTACCAATGTTCCTTTATTATAACATTGCTGCGCGCTTGTTATCTTTCACTTTGCCATTTTGCAATAATTTAACCTAGGTTAAGTCAATTTTAAAATAGAATTAAGCCAAAATCATGTCATAAAATTGGATTATGACCGTTTCTATAGTTATTATCTTTATATATTATAAGAGTTCGAGAGTAATATTTAAGTAGTACGAAAACTATTTATATATTTTTTCCCTGCTCCCATATTAGGGAACAAAGTTGGTCTATCTACGGCACTCTTCATTTTGGTTTATAGGAAACTAATGCTATTTTACTTTACCTATTTCAGTACGGGAGGTTATAATCAAAGAAATATTTTCTAATAACTTTTCAACCAAAATCATCCCCTTTATATTTCTAAAATATTCCCCTTTCACTAATAGAAAATTAATCAGAATCGTCCTAGGTAAATATTATAAATATATTTAAAAAAATATCAAATAAAAAATATAATTTTTCTACTAAACTTCCTAATTAAAGACCCGAAAAAATTATTTTTATTCTTAAAAATTAAAAAAGAGATAGATTTGCCTATTTGATTTGTTTATTTAGTGTTAAACGGTTCAATTTTTAAAATAGCTAACCTAATATTTTACTCAAAAAAATAGGCTTGGTGGGATAGTTAAAATCAAATTTTTTGAAAGCCACATGTGTCTAAAAGACCCACGTTTAGTGAATTAGGGTTACGATGATTTATAACCTGATATTATTTTGATGGGAATAAAAATATTGTATTTATTATTTAATTATTTATAAACTTATTTTATTTCCCATAGCTTTATTTACTGCTACCTGCTGCAACAAAGCCTTTTATTGCAGCCAATCTTGCAATTATTCTGACTGGAGTCGGCACAAACGATTTTGTCCAAACTTCTTTCCAGAGTATTATAATTCCAATGTTTTTATTGATTTATTCTTAATACAAATTTTTAAAAAAATATACTGATATGGGAACATATGTTTCTATATTTTGGATGGAATTGAACAGGTCCTGCAAATTTTTATTAAGTCCTGCTTTTTATTAAAAGTTTTTATTTATTTTTATACACTTGGATAATGTCATTTAATTGTTATGGTACTTTAATGCACCTGTCTTATTTAAATTATAAAACAAGTTTTTACTTACTTATAGTTAATTTTTTTATATGAAATGAATTTAATAATTCATAGTAATCGGACAGGATACCAGGATCAGCAATTTTACAAAGTATTATAGAATATCCCAACACAAATTGGTTGTGTCCTATAATTTTTAATCAAGATCTTTTTGTTCATAGTATTTTTGCCAAATTTCCTAGACAAAAATATCCTATTTTAAAAAAAAATGCTAGAGTTTTTTAAAAAAAATTATAAAATTTGGCCATATTTGTCCAATGCTTTTTCGGGGATACTTTTATTCATTTCTGTGATTTTCTTAGTTTGTACCTCAACACCTAATTGTTTCTCTAAGGATTAAGGGCTGAAAATCAGGTTATATGGGCTGATTTTGAGACGATTTTTAAAAAATAACTCAATATTTTATTTAAAATATTATGCAAGCCTTAAGAATTTGCTCATAGGTGGCACAAAGGTTTGAACATCTATTAACGAAATCTCGAGATTTAGACAATATTTTTCTAGCTAAAATATTGGGTTTGCCGTTTTTAAAAATCAACTCAAATTGATTGGTTTAGCAACACTAGTTATATGTTTTACAAAATTTAGAAATAAATTTAAAATAGGAAAAGCAGCCATTCATTTACTCCAATCAGTTTAATCCGATCATTAAAATTCTTATAAGGATTCAGTTTACTTTTTATAAGAATTTGGCATAAATACTTGGGGTCCTTTATACACTTAAATTTACGAAGTATATTTTTAAATTAAAATTCGAATTTTTATTTTGCATATTAAAAACTTGTCTTCCCTTCCCCATCACAGACAATTTTTGAAAATTTTATTAAGAATGCTCAAACCATTTTGATCAAATTTTACATGTAAATCATATTATTTTTATGCATAAAAATCTTTCATGCTGAAATAAATCATTGATTTTTTTAAGTGAAACTTCATTTATTTGGTTAAAATTTTTGGTAAAAGATTATAAAATAATAAATATTTTATTTAATATACTTTAACATATAATAGATTATCCAACGGGGTATTTCCCAATGGGATCTTTTCCAACGCCAATCAGTTTTCCAATTATAATCGATGTATAGAGGATGTTCATCCACAAGTCAATCGAGATAGATTGGTAAATTATTCTTCTGATGGCATGGGAAATAAAGAGCTACGCGTCATGGTTCCTAATAATACAGCTCAATCTTCTCAAGTTTATTTTCTAAGTGTTTTTTTAGTAGGCATGCTCAAAAATTAAAAAAAAGATTTAGGCATGCACAAATTAAATATAGCACACAACCTGGTATTTTTTAATTTAAGTTAGATAATTCTCTATGAGGGTAAATTTTGAATGAAAAATATTGCAACTTTATAATATGACAATGGTTTACCAATTCTTATAACCTAAACCCTTATTGTATAATAATAATAATGTCTCAATTTTATGTGCCTCCTTAATAAACAGAATGCTGCAAGATTTCCGCCCACAAGGGAACCTTCCTATACTGATAATAATATGGAGGCCCCAGTGAAAAATAGAAATGTTTCTTCTAAAGCTGACTATAAAGGGGGGGAGGCTGACTGGCCTGAATACAATAACGATGATGCTAAACCATATTTTAGAAATAGGAATTACAGCTCGAATTTCCAGGAAACTAAAAGGTTTGAACCCAAAAGAAACGACATGGAGAGTTCCACCAATGAATGGGACAATGGTTTTGAGGTAAAATTCAATTACATATCGTCGGTCTAGAATTGGAGTGCTCCAACATTTTCAAAATTTTTGACTTAGAAGTGTATAATAACTTAAAATATTAATTTTTGCCAACGTTATAGCTCCCTTAAAATTGATCAATAATTTCAATGTTGATTATCTCATTTTAAACATTTGTGCAAGTGGAGCAAGGCCGATGATATATATATATTATAGAATAATCTATAAATTATTTATTTCACATTTTGTTATCGTTATTTAACGATTTTTTGAAGTCATATATTTTTATCTTATAGCAAAAAGATTTTAACTCTAATGAAGTCGCGTTAGACGGATTTCCCGCTTACCCGGGTGCCGGTAGATCCCAAGCAGGAAATCGAAGTCAGTTTGAACCCAGAAATGATTTTGGCAGTGCACGTCCCTCACGTTTTAACAATAATAACGACGAAAAAAGAAAGGAAGGAAATAATCAAGATAGTAGAGATGGCAATAATTTTTCTGGCAGCAGTGGATTTAGGGGAAGAGGAAGGGGCAGAGGCGGCTATAATCGTGGAGGTGGAAACTCTTTCAAAGGTGACTATAATAGAAATCAATTGTCTAGAAATGATGATGTGGGTTTTGGGGATAGTAGCAATAACAATGATGGGTTTGATAATGGTGATGGATGGGCAACTGGTTTCAAGGTAATCTAATTCTTTATTATTTTATAATTTGTCAAATATTGTCTCACATAAAAGTGCTAACGATAATAAAATAAATTATATATCTGATCTTTTCATTCTCGTGAAATTTATAATGTGGTACAGAGCATATATTCAACATGTTTTAAGTTAAAATGCTTAAATAATTGCAGATTCTTAAATTTTTACGTTTATTAAATTAATTCTAATCCGTTAAAAATTTCAACATTATAGAAAAGGATTGGGATATTATATTTCGACCTAGATTGAGTTTTATGTTTTCTTCACACAAAATAAGTATCATATTTTTGAGTTATACATAAACAATGTTATTCTACTCTTTTATCATAAAAGAAGTCAAGCATTTGAATGGTTATTTGTGAATTTAGTTTTTGTTTATTTAGAAAAAGCACAGGTATGGGGTAGTATGTAGAGTATAGGAAGGAAAATAAATATATTATTTTTAAAATATGAAAGTAAATTATTTAAATTATATAATTTGCAAAATATATTTTATAATTTAAATTAAATATTAGTCTCAACTACATAAAGAAACACCTAATAATAATGCTGCTGATGCTAATCCTTGGGGAAGTGGTTCCTGGGGGGAAGTTATAAAGGTGACTATATATTTGTTTTTTTAAATAAATATACTATATTTTAACCTTAATTTATTATAATAACAATCAGGCTCAGCCATCTCAAGAAACAACTAGCTCTAATGTTGATGATGCTAACCCATGGGGAAGTGGTGGTTGGGGAGAAAATAGAAAGGTTGCAAAATATTTCATATCAATAAAAATGTTAAATATAATTTGGTTTGTATTATCTTGTTCTGATCTCCTATCTAAAATATAGTGTTGTTAAACGACTCAGCCGAGTCAGCTTAACTACGACTCGAGTTATCACCTTGAGTCAGTGAACTTAAGAAATAGTTTATTAAATTTTATGAAACTCAATTGCTTATATAAGTGTTATTTATTGGTTGTGTAAAGGGTCATTCCATGGCAAATCAATCACTTTTCGGCTGACCCCTTTCGATTTCGATAAAAAATCGTAGGCTGGTTATATATGTTCCCAATAGATTATATAGCCCATTAGCAATTATATTAGCGGAGATATTCGGGGTTAAAGGTCCAAAAAACGTCTTTTTTGCCTTTTACTGATGTTAAATAATTAGTTTTTAATTTAAAACTAAATATGATCAAATATTGAATCTAATATCAATAGCTAAGTTAATAATTGATGATTATGGTGAAAACATCAAAATTAATATTTTGAAATGTATATGATCTCCGATTTTTAATTTTTTAAAAAATATTATCCGTTTACTATTTTTTTAATAATTTCTTCAACAAATAGCATGGCTGGATATTAAAAAAATATTACGATTTATATACTTAAAAAAATAGATGGCGCTATATATAATAGATTTAATATGTTAAAATTCATTTTTTTTATTGATTAAAAATATTTTAATGTATATATATCATACTAAATCGATTACAATGTGCATTATATATATATTTATAGTAATTCAGATCATAAATTTTTAAAATCTCACAAATTTTTCATAATTAAGATAGTTTATAAATTAATTAAATCTTACTTCATCTAAAGGAATACAAAGCCTGGCTAGCTTGTGAGATTTCTTCCGGAGATAATATATATCTTCGACTAGTGGGAGTAGAAGGATTGACCAGCGAGAGAATATGTGATTTATGAGGCTGAAGGTCCACAAGGGTGTAAATATCGGATTTTTACTTCTTCATTTGTATCGATTATATATCCTAACCACCATTTATCATCATATACACATGTTATATATCCATTAATATTTTAAAATATAATTTTCTCATTTAAAAACGAAACTTGTTTTATATTATATTTTTTGGAATTAGAATATATTTTGGTTTTTAGTCTATTTTGATCAATGGGAATAACCCCGTAAATTTTTTGGGTACCATATATGAGCAGTGCAGAATTAAATCTTTTACGAAAGGCTAATTCCTCTTCGATATATTCTTGATTGGATACATATTCAAATTGAATTCCATTAATATTTTCTTTAGCATAATTATATAATTCTAATGGGGTTAGGATTTGATTATTATTTGGCCTTTAAAGACTAGCTCTGGCAACTAATCTTTTGACAGTTCCTCCTATACCGTCACATGCATTTTTGCCGTGAGCAGTGGCAAAGAAATGCCATTCGGCAGTAATATTAAAATCGTATTTATGAAGGTATATGTTCAGAAAATTTTTGCGATTCTTGCATTGAAATGCGGCATCATCTGAAAAATAATTATTTTTTCTGGTTTAGAATTAAATTTGGCTGTTAAGAAATCATAAATTCTTTTTGATAAAGGTGGACTGCACTAGTATTATGGCTTAATGATTCGGATAAAATAACAAAATTTATATTTTTTAATTCTTCTCCAGATTTATAATATCCTACAAATGGATTTAGTGGCCTGCACGTTGTTCCAATGAAATCCCTGAACTTCATCTTGTAAAATGAAGGAATAATTCTCAGAATAATCTTGAATTGTTAAAAATTCACTATCTTTTAAATTTTCTTTGGAATTCTTCAAAAATAAACTTTGTGTTTAGCTATAAACGAGTGACGCAGTAAAATTTGAACTTTTTCTAATAGATATTCGATGAAATAATCAATGGACTTTATTATAGTTTCAAGATTTGCTCTATACACCGTGATCCATTGTTTAAACATGACATATTCTATACGATTTTTCTGAAACAATTGGTATAATTGGCCTTTAAGAGATTCTATACAAGGGCACTGATCACAATTTGTTAAATAACATTTTGGCTGAGATGGATTACAAATAATTTGTGCCAAAAGATAGTTATAAAATTTATACAGTAATCTTCTCCTGCTGTAATTTCAGCTACTACATTTGTCATTAATTTCACATTCTAATGAATGGCGCAACACAAACAGTGTGTGTGCCACTAGCTCCAACTAAAATACAGTTTTTTGGTCTAAGTTCGGCAAATTTAGAGAATCCAATTGATATATTTTTGTATTCTTCCTTAATCATCTTGAATATTTCTTTAAGATTATTTAATATAAGTCTTTGGACTAATTTTTTCTCGCCTTTAACAGATACACTTTTATTCCTGGCTTGAGTGGGCTTATTTCATCAGAACTATAATTTTATTTTTATTGCTTAAAAAATTTTTCAAAATCTTCAAAATTTTCTTTATCTCTGGTTAGTATAATAATTTTTGATGGGTATGACTTAGTCTGGTGGAGGGTTGGGGGTAGGCCTGGTAATTAATGCTTAATAATTTTCCTGCACCCCTTTAATTTAATCCTGCTTTTTTGTTCGTGTGCTAGTCGGATTTTTTAATTATTTTTAATTTACATTGAAATATTAGCAAAATTATTAAAAAAATTTAACCTGCGAATATCTCAGTGGAATAAGGTTTACAAAGTTATATAATAGAATTTTATGATATATTATACATTAAAATATTTTTAATCAATAAGAAAAATGAATTTTAACATATTATAACTATTATATATAGCGCCATCTATCTTTTAAAGATTAAAAATCGCAATATTTTTTTAAATAAATATCCAGCCATGCTAATTGTTGAAGAAATTATTAAAAAAATAGTAAACGGATAATATTTCTTAAAAAAATTAAAAATCGGAGATCATATACATTTCGAAATATTAATTTCAAGTTTTCAACTGACTATAAGATGACCCATATTTTACCAAAAATTAATTTTGATGTTTTCACCATAATCATCAATTATTAACTGCTATTGATATTAGATTCAATATTAGATCATATTTAGTTATAAATTAAAAACTAATTATTTAACATCAATAAAAGGCAAAAAAAGACTTTTTTTGGACCTTTGACCCCGATAATATAGTTGCTAATGCGCTAAAATTTTGTTTATAATCTAATTGGAACATATATAATCAGTCTACAACTTTTATTCGAAATTGAAAGGGGTCGGTCGAAAATCTTGAGTTTTTTGCTCATTTGATATGGAATGACCCTAAAACCCAGATCCGTGGCTTAAGTCTAAAAATCGACTAAATTAGCGATGAGCATAAACCACAAGCACAACCAATATATTTTAAGTTGTTTTTTCTTGACCTTTTTAAGGTATATTAATATATGATTATTAGAGTCATCAATAGCTCATTATAACTTAATTAGAAAACCAAGCGCCACCTCTCTATGGCAATTACTACGTAGGTTAGGATTATTATCGGCACCAAATATTGATATGATGGATTGGTATCAAATAAGTAAAGTTCTACCTAAGTAAGTTTGACTTGGGACCGGGGGTAAAAAATAAATATTGTTACTCGTATAAAATTTTTTACCATCGTATTTCTCTTAATGGGCATGTTTATATCTTAACATTTTATTTTTAAATTTTGTACAATATTAAGAGAAAAATATCTGCTAGATTGCCAAATTAGGATTTAAATCGGGTTCAGGAATTTTAAACTTTATCAGAAATTTTTTTAACATGAACTTAATAATTAGGCATTTTTAGAAATACCTTTACTATTTATTTCATCAAAATGCCTCATTTAAATTTTTTAAACGGTCACTCGCACTTTTTAAAATAAATTGTCACCTTTCTATGGTACATCTTTATTGAAATTTTAATTTAACATGTTTACAATATCTATTTTCCCATTTGAAAAATTTAAAAATAACGATTATTACAATTTTCACTTTTTTATGGTACATCATCACTGTTTAAAAAAAATAATGATGACAAATGAAACAACTTACCTGCCCATAATTTTAATATCTACTAAATTTTGTTATTATGTTATTATATTTATTGGAGTCAACCCTAAAAGCCTTTTAGTAGAAAAAATGATCTGGATATTGGGTCAGATGAAAAAAAGCTACATCCTGCCTCCACCCTCCTCCCCAGTAATAGCTTTACCCTTCGAGAGGTAGCGCTTGGCTTGTTGCCTATTCAATAGGTTTTTTAAATTATCTATCGATTGATACTTCTAATAACTATATATTAATATACTTTAATAAGTTCAATAAGAAATATTAAAATATATGTGTCTGTGTTCGGGGTTCATGCCATAGCTGATTTATTAAATTTATTATAATTATTATAATTAATCAATCAGGCTCAAGAAATCCCTAGTTCTAATGTTGGTGATGCTAATCCACTGGGAAGTGGTGGTTGGGGAGAAAGTAAAAAGGTTGTAAATATTTATGATTTAAAAAAATGGATGTAGATTATTTTTAAAATTCCTTCTATACCCTAAATTTGTTGATAATTAAGGCTTTATTTTCTAACATAAATAAGGTTTAAAAAAGTCGACAAACAATTTTAACTATTTGCAAGATATTTTTTTTATAATTCTTATTACTCTTTAAATAGAATGTTGATTCTGACTGGGGCTCAGATGCAATAAATAAGGATTCTGAAGAGAAATTGGAGGCAGTTAGTAATGCAGAAGTAAAATTTATATATATCTTATTTTTATAAAAACATAAATTACTCCAAATGTAGGAGGGGCATATTCAAATTATTTTTTCTCTCACCCTGTCACTTTTCGAATTTTATACTTTTTAAAAAATAATGTTTGAAAAGTGGTTTCCATTTTAAAACTTTTAAAGAGAAATTATAAATACTAAATAAACCCTTTAAAATAAATGAACCACAATTTTATTTATTAAATTAAAATTATATTTTTTTTTAAAGTTCAGTTTTGGTGTTTTTCGGTTATTTTTTCGTTTTCACAATATATTATATATATTGTTTTTACCTTTTTGTTTTATTATTGTTCTAATTTCTTTGTATTTCCTTCATAAGCTGTGTCCTAAATGAATAAAAAACTACTCAAAAGTTTTAAGAATTACATATCTTTCATGAGTTTTCAGAGAAACGAAACATGTCCTGAATCTTTCTTTAGATTTTCAAAAGTATTGTTAAATTCTCAATTTAAAATGTTTTATATGAATGATTTATTAATTCTATATTTTATATTATTTGATATTTTTTCGTGCAAAAATTTCACAAATTACAAAATTTTAATGATAAAATAATTAAATTCCCACAATTCGTAAAACTTTTAAGAATCACAAAACATTAATGAATTATAAAAAATCATTTAGGCCAATATTAATTTTACATTAATAATAGCTTATATTATTTTTTTTCGTTTATTTCACTTAATTTTCGAGATTTATTTTTTTTTATTTAGGATATAGCCTTACAAAAATAATTTGTTTTTTAAGAAATTAATTCGGAGAAAAAAAATTATAAATTTATTAATAATATAATTAATTAAAAACATAAACAATTTTTTATAATTACTCTTTTTTTATTTCTTTTACAAATAATTATAATATATTTAAATGAATGAATTTACAATTTTACACAAAAAAACGACTCACATAACAAATATTTTATACTTTTACTAAAATAATTTTATTCTTCTTGGGTAATTCGAGATTGGCCTCTTAATGACATCCAATTTTTATAAATTAGATGCTGGGTTTGGCAAATTTTCAAAAAATGTATTTGTATATAAATATACTTTATAAATACTAAATACCATAAAATATTTTTCTAAAATGATTCGAATCTGCGGTAATACATAAGCATTATAAATAATATATTTATTGTTGCAGCAGTAGGTCACATAAGTTATATAATAAGTGCAAATCTAATTAATATCACCATCTTACCCACCATATAATAATCGTCATAATTTTGATATTTGAAATATGCCAAGGTTTAGGAGTAGGGTATCGGTTCTCTGCTGAGGATTAAATCGCTCCATTTATTTTTGGTTTTATTTTTAGTTGTGCAGATATTACATTTAGCACTATATTATTGATTTTTAATGATATTTTGAAAAAATTTCCATTTGTCCATCAAAAAAAACTTGTGTTTTTGGTAATATCCAATTTAAAAATAAAATAATACCTAAAATGGGAGATATTAATTTTTTGCTAACGTGTCATAAATATAATATTTAGATAATTAAAAGTGGATTTATTTAATTCAATATATAATATAAAAAAATTAAATTGTTTTTACAATTGTTTGAAAATCTTGAAATTAAATAATTTCCAAAATGTTCAAATAAAATACGCCCGACCCTGATTAGATACACTTTAAGAATTAGTTCTTGTTTTATATTCTGGTTATTGGATTTCACCCACTTCTGAGGCTTCTAATTCATAAACATCGATTTAAATTTTTCGAACTACAAATGCCACTAGGTAAAAGCTGAAATATTATCAATCAGCGATGGATTATTAGGAGACATTACAGATACAATTCCGACCTCTTGGACACAAGAAGAATTGAACAGCCATTACACCGATTACAATGTTAGGAAGAAACAAACTGTTGTTGAAGATTTAGAGGTTCAAATTTTATTCAAAATATGGCTACTTTAAAGCTAATATTACATATTATTGATTAGAGCATGGAGAGTTAATGTTTTTTAAATTATAAATTTAATTTTAAGGAAAATGACGATCAAAATGAACAGAGTAAATGGAACAATCAAGATACTCCTACTCTAGTAATTTTTATTTACGAACTTTGGCATTTGATCATTTAAATATTTTGTAATTCTATCAAACTATTTTGTTTAGTGTCCCTTCTATCCCTTATAGATTTTAAAAAACTGCCATTTTAAATGTAAAGATTTTCCACATATAGCTCGAAAGGTTTGGATTTCTATTATCGAAATTTCAAGACTTATAATATTATTTCTTAGAAATCTTGATTTCGCCCTTTTAAAAAATCGGCTAAATGGAACTGTTTAACATCACTATTAGTGTTGTTAAATAGTCGAGTTTATTCGACATAATCGTTAGTCGGTATATTGACTAGCTTAGTTCAGAACTCGGTGTGAACTAGAAGACGAATATTTCCTAATTACCTTTAAAAAATAATTTTTATTTTCGTTTTTTAGAAATAAAATTAAGAACCTGTAGCCAATTTTTTGGATAAGAACTCGCGTTTTCTTTGATAAAAAAATTATATATTTGTATATGAATATTAAAATCTAACAATCATTAATTTGATTATATATTTGTATATGAATTATTAAAATCTAAAACTCATTATTTTGATTATATATTTGTATATAGATGTGATATCAGCTCAATAAATTTTTTAGCTCTGTTTCTTTATCGAGATACATTTGTATATGTATCTATATCTAGATATGTTTTTGATGTATTTAGTAATTTTAATTACTTTTTTAGATATTTGAAATTAAATATTGTGTATTTTGGAATATTCTCGTTTCTAAAGAGGGCCATATCTAGTATTGCATAATCGGCTATACCTTATTCGGCTTAGTCTTAAAAATCGTTTAAATTTAGTCAAAAATTATGCATCGGCTAATCGTCTGTCAGCGTTCCGTAAGATATGCCTAGAGCGTTAATTATTATTTATTTATATTTAAATATTTTATTATTATCAACAAAATGTATTATATGATTTAATATTTTTTATTTATATATTTATCAAAAATTAAGATAATATTTATATGTTAAAATATTTGCACTAAATATAAAAGATAATAGTTCTTAGTTAAAATAAATTATTAAACCACATTAAGCAATTAATTTTTTCAGTTTGATATTATACAATTTACCCATTATTTTTATAAGATGACTGAATTAGAAATCACCTTCAACTCCGATTCTCTGCACTTGTCTCCTACATTAGATGATGAAATTATTGTAAATAACGGATCTAATACTATAACTAAGTTGGTAGAGGATTATACCAGTAATACTTCGCCACTTGAAAATGTAAGATTTATTTTATTTTTACCCTTGATAGGTAAGGTTGGGGTTTTTTTCCTCGGGTTGTTCATATATTTAATAAATTTTAAGTTTGCTCATACTTATTCACAACATCTTGTATAAAATAAAATTATAATTTTTATTACTAAACATCTGCCAATCAACAATGAAACATTTATTGATTAATAAAATATTGTTATAATAATGACTTTTGTTTATCATATTAAATTATTTAAAAATATAATTTGAGAAGTAACTATTATAATCGTCCATGAAAATTAGGGTTGCTGATCCACAAATTTTTCACCGATTCCATCCGATATTACTACAAAATCGATCCAATATTTTTTCTATCTTTGAACCAATAAACATAAAACTCAATATTTTTTGCAAAAAACCAACTAATTACTTTTTTCATCGAAAATTAATCACTTCATTACAAATATGGATGATGATTATAGCAGAATTTTAGTCTCCTTAAATGGTTTGATTTAGCCGATTTTTAAAAACGGCTTAATCATGATTTTAGCCAATATATTATATTACCTTTACATCATAATTACGATAGATATCCAGACCTTTCTGTCACCTCTGAGCAAAATTTATAAGCTTGCATAATTTACTTTTGATCAAAATCTTGGGTTAATCATTAATTGTCAATCAAGCTTTTAACAATATTAGTTAATATGACTTGTTAGATATATTTAAATTCTTTTCTTATTACAGATAAATAATATAACAACAAATTTTTAACTATTCTCTTTTTTTAAACATTGCAGATAGAATAAATTTTGATTCTTTTATTATCATTCACAAGTATTCCAAAATAATTAAAAATATTGCTTCAATCTTATATATAGTTAAATATTAGTACAGTCAAATATTAGTACAGTCCTAACAAAATCTCATCTTCCAAACTCAACAGTTTATATGAGAAACCTGGCCTCTCAGAGTCCACCCTTAGGGTTTTAAATACAGTGCCGTTTAATAAAAATCAGAGTTGTTAAGAAGCGGAGCTACAAGAGCCCCATCTGGAGCGCCAATCCTTTTTTAAAATGAGGAGTGGGAGCTAGCCCCTTTTGCTCCATCGCTCCTTTAAATTTATGGTATAAATGAAATTATTTTTTAAATGTTAATAATATTTGTTAATTAAAATTCTATAAAAATGAAATTTTATTTTATTTAAATTTATCCACTATTAAATGTTGAGTCAAGTTTTATATTTGTTTTTCTTCTAATCTTTTAAATTAAACATAAAGTTTTTCATTTTTATATTGAAAATTTGTGGAAAATCCTGTGTCATAATAATATTCATTTTATAGATATATAATAAAAAATAGTTTTCGATATTATGGATTTAGAGATCATAGAAGATGAAATGGAATTTCCAATTCCATCATAGATGTTGATCCAAATTATTAAACAAATTTAAGGGCAAAATGCCTTTTGTGTTTAAGTAAAAGTAATTCATTTTCAAAACTGGGCAACTCCAATCTAAAAAAAACAAAAGATATTTTTTTATTTTGGAATAAATTTTTTTTAAATGGTTATAATTAATTTTGGGCAATACATTATAGTTGAGCCTGGGTTATATATGATTTTTTAAATATATTTTAATATTTATTTAAATTTTCTCATTACTTGTTCAACCTCCTTTTTTATACCTGAATTAAAAAATATCTATAAAATACAATTCTCCTCTTCCCTCTAGTGCTCCTATGGAGCGCTTATTTAGTATTGCAAAACAGATCTTAGGGGAGAGGCATGGAACTTTGTTGAATTCTATAGGAAAGTTATTACTTTTAAAGGCTAAAAGATTATAAATATTTTGATTGATCATTTAAAATAAAATCATAATTTTATTTCGTGTACCTTCTAAAAAAATGAAAATCGAAGGAGTTGTTATGGAGTGGCACTCCATTACTTGGAGCGGGAGCTAGCTCCTTTTGAGAGGTATGAGCGGGAGCTATAAACTTTTAAAAAGGAGCAAACAACTCTGATAAATATATCATATCTGATCATGATTACCAGGTAAAGACTATTTTTGGGAAAACAATTAAGAATGTGGAAGATTTTGTTGCTGATTTGAGAAATTTTAAAATTGTGGTACATTTCGACTTTTTAAAAAAATGTGGTAGTCGGCTATAGTCAATGGGGAAGACCTGATAACCCTGTTTTTTGTTGTATACTAATTTAATTACAAAATTCAAGAAGCTTTTAAGTATAATGCGTATTTTTTTAAATTTACACCTTTATAAGGAGTTGATAAAAGTTTTAAATCCTTTTAGGACCTTTAAATGTTTTTCCAACCAAAACGGTTATAAATATTTAAGAAAGAATATAGAATAAAATAAGCATTAATTTGAAATGTAAATGGATCAGAAATAAATATACAATTCAGAATTTTATATTTTTTAAATCATCTATCATATTTAGGAATCTCCAACATCGCTGGTTCACATAATTGAAGAAACATTTGCCCAAAGTAATGTACATGAACAGTTGAGTGATAAATTTACCAGAGCAACCGTTATAAACAATGCTGATGAAATTAAACCCATTGATACCTCAAATGAAGGATTTGATAATAATACCAAAACAGGGTAACACAAATATTAGATTTTCCCACTATTAGTGTAGCATTTTAATTATTATATATGCACAAAAAACTTATCTAATGACCATCATAATCTTAACTTTATATGGTAGCTTATATTTTCTTAACATCAGAGACCTTCTTGGGCTGGGCCGGGTATGGGTCTAATATTTTTCTAGCGGGTCTGGGTTTAAATCTAAAATTATTACATTTAAATTTAGATTATTAAAACAGTTGATTTAAATTTCAGTATTGTAAACAAAATGATTGCCTAAATATATTTAAATATTGTTTATTTTCATTAAATAAAAAAAATTAAATTTTTGTATATGGGCTTGGGTTGGGCTTAGGAAATTTTTGTGTAACTTATGGGCTTAGGCCGGACTTGAGAATTTTTTATAACATTAAAATATAGGCCTGGCCAGACTTTATAATTATTTTTAACATTAAATCTGGGCTTGGGCTAAAAAAAAATTTTACTGCAGGCTGGGCTTGGTCAAAAAATTAAGGCCCATGAAGGTCTCTGCTTAACATCTGTTTTAATAAATTTGTACCATCAAATGCCACATTAGCTATTTTGACCGAATCTTATACGATAATTTAATTACTTCAATTCATAGTTTATTTTACTACCAATAAACTTCTCAGCTTCAGGCATACGAAAATCTCATTTTACAAATTTTGACCTCATTGATACCATTTCTATTTCTTTTCTTATTTCATTTAATTTTTTTACTCTAATTATAATTAAAATAATTTTTAAAAAAGTATTATTACATTTAGGGCTTAATAAAATTAATGAATTACTTTTACTTGATATAACATTATTTCATTAAAATGGAACTAATATTAGTGTTGCTAAACGGCTAACTCAATATTTTAGCCAGAAAAACATTTTCCAGGTCACGAGATTTCGTTTATAGATGTTCAAACCTTTGTGCCACCTATGAGCAAAATTTTAAGGCTTGCATAATATTTTTCCTAATAAATTATTGAGTTAGCCGTTTAACAACACTAAAAAATGCTATATTGAGAAAATGAACAATTTTTTAAATAGTCAATAAAAAGCAAGAACCCTAACCGTAATGATTATCAGTAGGGTTCAGATTATACTCAAAAAATAATAATATCGGTTTGGTTTGAACCTTTCACATATATGCATATTTGAATTGTGTAAAAATATTTTTCAAAAATAATATTGAGCTTATACAATTAAAATACTATTAAGATTCTCTTCTGTCAAAATATATTGTTAGGGAGGAAGAATAAATTTTAAGGGGATTTAATAATTTTCCGACCCTAACACTACTGTGATGATTATACAATATTTATAGTTATATTCCATTTACAATATTTTTTTTAAAAAAGTGGTCCTGGTTTTTTGAATTTGATTCGGTTCCAGGTTTAAACTAATATTTAAACAAATCCTTTAAAACGAATAACACTTACTAGCATTTTTCTTATAGCCGTTTACTGAAATTTTAAAAGGAATTCAGGCTTCTATTTTAAACTCTAATTAAAATAAATAAAAGCTTACAATAAAAACTTTTTTTTAACCTTACGTTCTATGAATTTTCTAATGTTTTTTTTAAAAAATCGATGTGAAGGCATTTGGTTGATGAGAGTGTTATATCGCAAAATCAAGATGATTGTTGTAACACAATTCAAGAAAATAATAGGGTCAGTGATTTTGACTTGATCAATAAATTAGTGTTTGATAGAATTGCAAATTATTGCCAAATAAATAAATCGATAACCAGAGGTAAAACATTTTATCAAGATGGTGTTCCAATAGGCCCAATCATGGATATCGGGACTAAAACAGTTCGTGAGAGTCCCTGCCGAGGCATGGATAGATTTAAAAACAGCAGTATATTTTTTCAGCGTTTGTTAGCCAAGTTCTCAGTTTTGGAAAAACATGGTCATACAAAAGACTGTTGTCTCAACGAATTGCCAGTTAGTGAAAAGTGTGATAAGGTTGCTCATGAAGAGCACGATGATTTTAAATCAGCATAATTATCCTTTAATAAGTATGTATGTAAGTTTATCACTGAGATAAGGTTTAATCTATGATTATAGTAAATTTTATTTATCATATATACATGCTTTTTTGTATAAAATATATAGATTATTGGATGATACACAAACTCAAGATTATCATGAATGTAAATCCAGTACAGGATGGGATTGAAATTTATGAATTTTTACAATATCAAAAATTGTTTTTTAAGTTGTATTTTTTACGATGTTTAAATTGAATATCCTTTTTATTTTTATGTAAATTACATATTTTTTAAGAAATTTATGAATATTTTTTAAAATGATATTACCTGGTGTCATTTAAGTTTGCAATTAAAATCAAATTAAATAGATATATAAAATAACCTATAGTTTATAACATATTACCATGATATATTTTTATTTTAAAAAATTTATATTGAATATAAATAAAGAGTATATTTTCTAATTTGTGTGTTAATCACTAGATTCGACAAATTAAACCATCTTTAATGGTAAACAAAGGATTCTTCTTTAATTTTTTGTTGATTTTCTTCATTATATCTTCTTTTGTCAATGCTTGTTTTATCTTTTCTGAATTTACCCATTTTGTATACTCTTTTATTATCTGAAAAATATGATATAAGATTTAAAATTAGTAAGAAAAAATAACCTTTTTATGAAATCTAACTAGAGGTAAAGTGGATTTGATTTTCATTAATGCTTCGAGCTTAGTATCTAACATAGTATTCCAGTTGAATTCTGTTTGCACTTTACCTTAAAAAATATAATTTTTTTAAAAAAATAGTTAATTATTACAAATAAATAATAATTGATAGATTTCATACAAATTGAAAAGTAGAAAGTGGCAAAACCCAAAAATCAGGCCGATTTTTTTTAAAACTTGGTTTATATCAATAAAATATTGAATAAAAACTTAGATTGTTGCAAAATTTAGTTTTTTAAAATCTAAATTAAACTTGTAATTATTATTTGCAATATTCTAAATTTAAAATATTGTTTAAATACTAAAGTCTGTTTTTCTTTAAACCAAAAAATAATCCGTTTTTAAAGATTAAAAGATAACATTACTTAAATGATAATTCGTTTGAAAGAGCAATAAGATTAGGTGTATTGATTGACATATTTTTAATTATATTTTTATATGGTGCGAATTGAATGAGAACAAAGTATAAAAATGTTGTTTATCTATTTTGTACTCTCATAATAAGAGTGTTCTAAAACAACGAAGCATAACAAAAATTGCTAGGGTTAATGCTGGTTATCTGTTTTGAAGAAACTAGGACTATGACATAAATATATTTTTAAAAGCCTCAAAACTTTCGTAACTATAAAATTACTAGCTAATAACCCGTCAAGAATGATGAGGTTGAGGGGTAATTAGTTTGTATATATGGTACTAAATATGCTTTATATTAAAATTTAGGAGAAAAAGAGATAAAATTGTTGCAATGTAACCTGTGAGCATTAAGGGTATAAGAAATATTAAAATTTAGGAGAAAAAGAGATAAAATTGTTGCAATGTAACCCGGTGAGCATTAAGGGTATAAGAAATATTAAAATTTAGGAGAAAAAGAGGTAAATATTGTTGCTATGTAACCCGTGAGCATTAAGGGTATTAGAAATATTTAAATTTGTGATAGAAATTATTTGGGTAAAATTAAAAATAGAAATTCTTCAAAATTTTTGAATTTTAAATATGGGCTAGACATTGGCCTCATAAATTTTCTTTTGCAGACACACCTAGGCCTGATCAAAAACCACGTCCCATGCAACTTTCCCAAAATTTTGACATTTATTTCTATTGTAATTTAATAATGTATTTAATTTTATATTTAGAATAAAATTTAAATTTGTGAAAGAAATAATATTGAATAAAATTTAAAATAGAGATGCTTGGAAATTTTTTTGCAGACCATCAAAAAACCAAATCCCATGCAACTTTCATAAAATTTTGCCATTTATTTCTATTGTAATTTAATAACAATGTCTTAAATTTAATTTTTATATTCCATTTATTTCTATTATAATTTAATAACAATATCTTAAATTTAATTTTATATTTAGAATAAAATTTAAATTTGTGATAGAAATCATATTGGGTAAAATTTAAAATAGATATGCTTGAAAATTTTTTAATTTTAAATATAGACCAGTCATAGGCCTGAATTTTTTTTTCTCATACCTGGCCAACTCATAATAATTTTGTAATTTTTTCCCAAGCCTGGAGATAGGTAAATCTCTGAAAACCATATTGTTGGGAAAATTTTCTCAAGCTATATAAAAGTCATAATTCATTTAAAAATAAAATCAGAATATAAAAGTTGCATGGGCTTGGTTTTTTAATCAGGCCTGGCGATTTCTGCAAAAAAAAATTTCAGGCCAATGTCTAGCCCATATTTAAAATAAAAAAATTTTCAAGCATTTATATTTTACACTTCTATCACAAATCTAAATTTTATTCTAAATATAAAATTAAATTTAAGAGATTTTATTAAATTACATTAAAAATAAATGGCAAAATATTATGAAAGTTGCATGGAACTTGGTTTTTTGAACAGGCCTGGCTTGCAAAAAAAAAAATCATTCAGGATAATGTATAACCCATATTTAAAATTCAGAAATCTTAAAGCATCTATTTTAAATTTTATCTAATATGATTTCCATCACAAATTTAAATTTTGATATTTCTAATACATGCTCACCGTATACATTGCAACAATTTTACCTCTTTCTTTCCTAAATTTTAATATTTATATAAAATTTATTAATAAAGTATATTTAGTACCATACACACAAACTAAATAATTACCCTTCAACCCCGTCAGCTAGTATGGTAATAAACTGCAGAATTTTAAAAATATCAGCTTTAATATATATATAATTTATATTTTAAATTTATATTCAAATTGGTGCATGCTTAAAACATACGACTTTGAAACGCGAGGCTTGTGTTCGACTCTCGTTGAGAGCAAAAAATAACATTACACTATATAGTCTCCTTAAATTTTAAATACATAGAAGATACGAAAACGATCATGTTTTGATTATGGAGATTATATATAAAAGATGAAGCAAGTCCAAAATCTGCCATTAAAATTTCGTAAATTTGATGCTACCATATTATTTCATGGATTTTGTAAGCATGATTTTTGTCAAGGAATTTAGTTTGCAATTTACAAATGAATCCTTAGTCAGTGGCAATATCTTCAATTACTTATAAATAAACTGATACCAACACTCTCGAAAACATGAATGTTTCTAAAGAAGTCACCCTAATAATTGGTTTCTATTCTATATAAAATATAAGCTAGAAATACGTATATTTGGTGGTTATCATAGTGGCGCCAATAGCATTCTAAGTGCTTAATCAATATATCTAAAATTTAAAGGAAAAAATATGCTAGTTTTATGGAAAAGATCGACTTAAAATTTACTCATGAAGGAGCAGAATTAAAAATGTTATAAAGAAAGGCAGAGAATATTAGAAGGTTAATTAGTAAAGCCCCTTCCCCATTTCAAATGGAATATTTAGGTGGAAAGAGCTGCGTGAGACACTGAATCTATTCCTAAGGATTTATACAAAGCTATTTACCGAGAGGATCGAATAAATAATATATTTAGAAAAATCTTCTATCTATCTCATTCATCTCTGAACACATGAATAGCATAAAAATAGCGAAATATCCTGCTGTAGTTAACAAATTTTAAGAAAAATATAATCAAGTCAGCTGTTGCTAATGGAGAAACCGATTGCATTCATGAAAATGGAGGTGGGGGAGTATTCTACAAATTGTTTTATTTTAATCGAAATGCTATATAACCTTATTTTTTTATAAAATTTTCATGTTTAATTAATTTCAATAAGTTAAATATATTTAAAATATTTCTAAATTTTATAAAATAATTATAAAAAATTAAGGTGTTAGAAAGCTTCAAAGTTGGTATGGCGTATGCACCCAATGGTAAATTAGATTACAAGAATAATGTGAATAAGAAAACTTTTTAAAAAACCTATGGCCTCAAGATTTGTAACTTTTTGGCTTTCATTCGATTCATTTATTGATTTTTCACCGTCATTACAATTACAGTTATTCTCAAATATGAAAATTTCTTCACCTCTATCGGACATTTTAAATTTTTTCTTGATTTCATTGCAATCACCATTACTATCGTGAATTTTTCCACTATTTGATTCCATCGTTTTTGATTTTTTCTTGATGAATCCATTGCAATGTATGTGCTTGTCGATATGGGTTACTTTGCTGTTTGTTTTGATATTTTTTAATTTTTTCTTAGTCCTGTTGCACTCCTCATTAGCTTCGTAAATAATTTGAATTTCTTCGCTATTTACTTTGATTTTCTTGTTAATTCCATTGCATTCATCATTATCTTTGTGAAATAATAGGTTTTCACTTATTCTCTCAATTTTTTCTGATTTTTTCCTTTTCTTGAATCCAGCGCAACCATTATTACCTTCAGGATTAATTTCGAATTCGTCAGTATTTGTTTCGATATTTTTCAATTTTTTCTTAATTGTCTTAATAGTCGCTTCTTGTTTTTCTTCAGAAAAATCTTCCTTAAGTTTTTGACCGTCTATAATCTTTTTTTCATTGTTGGGTTCATTCTGTGTATCTCCCTTTATTTGATAACAAAATAGTCAAAATAATAATTTATAATTTCAATAAGGAATGTTTAAAAACTTAAATTGGATATGAATAAGTCATATCGTTCCAGATCATTTTAATATATATTTTAGGTTAATATAAATCAGAGACCTGTAAGCCTGGAATTTGTTTACTGACCGTGCAGTATATGGTGAATTCTATATCAAATCAACCAAGGTTTCAACCCAACCCCTTTCAATTTTTCTTAAATTTTGTATAAAGGTAGTATGTACTATAACTAAGAAAAAAAATGAAATTTTATCTTCCAACACTGTTTACCTGCTAAGATATGGGCGTTTAAAGCGCGGAAAAATGGTACATTTTTGTCAAATGCACCTCATTTATTATATCTCGAGAAATAATTATGTTAGAGAAATTATTTAAATTTTATTATATAGCTTATAATAGTTCTTTAATATGACATAAGAATAAATATAATGCAAAATTAATATCGAAAATCGGATATAGCCATAGAAAAATAACGGTATTTTTTAAAAATATTTTTCCTGTTCACTACTTTATATTTGTACAAAATTCTAGACTGGGATGAACATGTCTCTAGGAGTTATGACTCTTTATATGGCTAAAATTGAACAAATTTAAAATAAATATCATATTTAAATTTAATGAATAGTTAGTTATGAAATAATGTTTATTTTTAAATTATGTCTAAATGATAAGCCCTTACTTTTTTTAATCTTTAACAAAATTTTTGAGAGGTGGCTGAGTAGTGTTGATAAACGGCTCGATTTGAGCCGATTTTTAAAAACGGCTAACTCAATATTTAAGCCAGAAAAATATTGCCTAAGCCTCGAGACTTCGCTAATAGATGTATAAACCTTTGTGCTATCTAAGACCAAATCTTCAGTCTTGCATAAACTTTTTCTGGCTAAAATATTGAGTTAGCTGTTTTTAAAAATCGGCTCAAATTGAGCCGTTTAACAACACTATGGCTGAGATAGTGGGCTTTGTATATTGTCTCGAAATTACTTGACAAAATAATTCCAAACATATTTATAACTTTATTTGCCTCAAGTTGCATAATTACATATAATACAATCAAAATTTTATATTTAAAATATATCAAATATTAAATCATCCAAAGAATTTGAATAAAATTTGACGCCTAGGGAATAAAAGCATGAAATTTTTATGTTACAGAAATTCTCTTTGCTCCCAAAAACCTGCTTTCAATATGATTTTATATGTTAATATATTTATTATTGCTCACAAATATATAATTTACCACATAACATATATTTCTTGCATGGTTAAATAAATCCATTGTTGTCAATATGTGATGTCCAAATGGGAGTTGCAAGCTTGCTCAAGCTGCTAATCGTTTAGTAATGCCCCGTAAACCGTAGCAGGGACTTTTACCATGTGCGGTTTCAAAAAATACTCAGCCTTTATCCCAAAATCACTTTCATGATTTTAGAAATTAATGAATTTTTATATTTATATTGGGTTACTGCTCCATCTGAAAAAAAATAAATTTTTATCATATGTTTCTTTCAAGAATAGGATCAATTTTGTTTGAAATAAATAAAATGTACATTGTGTTATCCTAACAATCTGATATAACCACTAAATTTACATGTTTTATAATGTTGTCCTTAATAAATCGTAAAAGGGTGGATAATGGCCTGATTATTGGTCCAATTAAATCCTTGTGCATGGTCCTGCACTACAAATGCAGTTTTCTGAAAATTCCGCAATAACTAAGAATTAGCCAACATTTAAATTGGATATTAAAAAGTTTCAAATTAATGATTATCATGAAGCTATAAACAAATGAGGAATCAAATTGTTTAAATTTTCAATTAAGTAATCTATAAATTCGTCGACTGATTTTATTAGTGTTTCGAAAGTAGTTCGATCAACTGATATCCATTGTTTGAATATTATATAATCTATTGAATTCGTGTCAAATAATATATTAAGTCTTTCTTTTATTTTTGAAGATATGAGGCAAAATTTATTGTTGAATTTTAATTATGTTAGATTTTTTTATGCTAAATAAAATAAATTATTTTGTCAAGTAATTTCGAGACAAAATTTATCTAAAGTGTTAAATAAAGCACATTATCCCAGCAACCCTCAAAAATTTTGTTAAAGATAAAAAAAGTAAGGACCTATCATTTAGACATAATTTTTAAATAAACATTATTTAGTAAATATTCATATTATATGATGATAATTTTAAATTTGTTCAATTTTATCTATATAAAGAGTCATAACTCCTAAAGCCATGTTCATCCCAGTCTATAATTTTGTACAAATATAAAGCAATGTGATATCTAAATACAGAATAAAAAATTGATACCTTTTATCAATGGTTACAGGTTTTTTACATCCGGGTTTCGATTCAGTTTTTTATCAAGTTTATTTGTATGCCATATTAAAAAACTATTATTAAGCTACATAATAAAATTTAAATTATTTCTCTAAGATAATTATTTCTCAAGATATTTGAAAATAAATGAAGTGCATTTTGTCAAAAATGTACCATTATTCCACGCTTTAAACACCCATATCTTAGTGGGTAAACAGTGTTGGGAGGTAAAATTTCATTTTTTACTTAGTTATAGTGGTATACTACCAATATGCAAAATTTAAGAAAAATTGAAGAGGGTCGGGTTGAGATTCTAGTTTTTTGTCGATTTGATATGGAATTCACCATATATATTTTTACAAACTATCCTGGTGGATAGGGGCAAAAATTATAAAATCAGAACTAGGTCCAATATTTTAACTCTACTATTATCGTTAATATATTGAAAATTATAATATATATTTTTTGATCCAATTATAACATTTATGATCTTCATATAAAGATAGAAAGATAACGAGAGGCGCGTGATTTGACATGAAATTACCTTAATAAGCTAAATTTAAAAATAGGCTTAGAGAAAATAGAATCGAATAATTTAGTATTTGTTTTTGTGTGAATCGAATATTTGCATTTTGTATACTACAAATAATTCGATTTTTTTTATATATAACACAAATTTTTCGTATATTTTTTTATAGTATCAAACATTTTTAAAAAAAACCATATCAAGATTGCAATTTTTATTAATTATATCTATCTGAAGTTATTTTAAAATTTATAGAAACCAGAAAGGGAATTCATTTTGAAATCTCTAAGGGCCAGTTCTAATAAAAGTTAATCATATAATATTGTTTAAAATGTATTTATTTTAGAGGATTTAATTAATTGTTAAAATAAATTTGCTTGTTATAATAGAGCTTGGAGCTGGAACCATTAAATCCAATTATTTATTCTTAATCAGATTTTAAAATAAAAACTAGAACCTGAAACCCCTTTAAAATTTATAGAAACTAGAAGGGGAATCATTTTAAAAATTTACAGGGACCAGTTCCAATAAAAGTTTATTTATATTACATTGTTTAAAATGCTGTGCTTCATCCTAAAATTTAATTGATTAAATCTTTGCTTTAATAAAGTTTTGAAACTGGAACCATAATTTACTTTTCAAACTTTTAGGAACGCGAACCTGGAATTACATTAAAAGTATTCAGATTGGAATCCTTTTTGAACTAGATTCTTTTATTTATTTCTGAATATATAATCTAACCAATAAATAATAATTTTAATTTGGTTTTAAGAAATCTTAAACAAAAAATATTAATTTAGTAAATGCCAGAAAAAATTTTTTGTTCAGTGACTTTAATTTTTAAAAAAAATACAAATGTATGAATTATTAAAATACTTATTAAAATATACAAATAATTTATTTTATTATTTGTTGAATATCAAATAATTTTTGATAGGCTTATTTAAAACAAACAAATCAAAAATATTTAATAATTAATGATAAAATTTAATAATAATGATGGGTTATATTATGCAGGCATATTAGATTTACACTAGATATCTCCTTCTCTTCACCATTCATAAGTTCCCATATTTGTGATACCATCGATCTATCCCTTATTTTTAAGCTATTTTGCATAAAATTCTAAATATTTAAGCAAGGTAAAATTAAAAAATAATATATTTTACTTCAAATTTTGATAATTTTCTAGGAATATTTGGGTAATTTAACATATTTTCTAATATAAATTTTAATTTTGGATTAAGATGCATTCCTGATAATTGTTTATGAATTTTCTAATGTATAATAATTTATAGGTTTATAAAAATTTGCTGTGGTATATATTAAAACAGAAACCTTGAAAATATATTACAAACCAAGGCCTGGCCTAAAATCTGGGCAACCATATTTGTTAATATTAAATTTAAAATATCAATAACTAGTTGGATAATGAATAAATTACTACATTTGCTGCTTATATTTTTAATTTCCCTAAAAAACCATTTATAAAATTATTTAAAATGAAAAATATTCAAAATCTGTGCTGTTCCATATTAACAATTTTAAAAAACCAGGATAATACAAAAATAAATTTCTTTGAAAAATCCAGACAGCATTGAAAATTTTAAATCCAAATTATAAATAAAAATTTAAAATAATAGTAAAATTCTAAGGTTTTTTCTCTCTATTATATATATATGCTGGTCCATTACTAGTTATATTTAACATTATATTACAAAATCCAAATGACTGAGGCATCTGTAAATTCTTAAATGATCAAAAAATCATTTATAATATTATATATAATGTAATTATACTTGTATCCATAGTTCTTGCTTCATTTCACCTTTATTAATATTTTTTGATGGATCATAAGTTTTTCCAGAATACTTTTCCGTTTCGCTTATGCATTTAGTGTGATATTCATATTCATTACCCCTATGTTATGATAGTTTAATATCTAATATAACTGAATATGTACAAATATATCTTTCCACAATCAAGACATGATAATTTTTTATTAATACGGCATCGAGCTCTAATAAAATGTTTTTCAACTTGCTGTTTTTTTATATTTTCGCCACAATTATCGCAGGAAAAAAATACCATTTCACTTTTTGAAAAAAAAAAAATTATACAAACCGATTTGATAAAAGTGTTAAAATAGGATTAAAAAGAATTATAAAATGGGATATAGATTAATATAATCATGGGCGTCACTAGCCTTTACATTCTTATAGGACTCAATAAATTTTTTTAATAGGGGTCAAGCCCTTCATACCCCCTATTTAGCCCAGCTTTCATATTCTACTTTTTTATGAAGAATTAATTCTTAGTAACCTACATGGACAAAAGGTTAGAAACTAATATAACTTGTGTTACAGAAAAAATTTGCAAATCAATAATTCTTAAAGATAAGAATATAAACGACCCAAATCATAAAAATATATCTCTTAGATGTTATAGTAGCTAGATAAATAATCAAGAAAATTACTATGAGATATTAAAAGATTATCATTCATTTTTATAGATAGTTGGCCAATATTGCTATCTAAATTATGCAATCAAAACTCTTACCAGCAGGAGTCTCAAATTAAGCCACACAAATAATAGACGAGGGTTAATTTGCAGTCATAGCCATGACACTCACGATGTAAACTCATATTAGTGTTTAATGTGTTAGATAAATTAATAAAATAAATCACTAAAATTTTTAGAAGAAATAATTGTACAAATATATTGAAGCCATGAGTAATCTACACGGTAAAAAATGTCTTGTTAGAAATAAATCATTTAGTGACTATAAAATAAGAACCAGAGTGATATGACGAAAGCAATTAAAATTTTATATATTATTGTGTCGCGTCACCTCTAGTTGGTATATTATATCTCAAAATAATAGTAGTTTGTAATAATATCAAAAATATACTCGTATTAAAAATTTAACTCAAAACTCTTTTTCAAAGAAGAAAAATATAGCTTTTCTAAATACAAGTAAAAAAGGAGAAGGAAAAAAAGATATCTAATAAGGATTAAATCCATTGTGAGATGAATAATATGATTACTAATTTTTAATAAAAAATTTTTAATTAAAATAAATAGATGGCGTTAAAGAATTGAATGCAAATTGTTGATTATATTTATTATCAGATGCATAGCGTCATTAGGAGAGGGCGCACAGGGGATCAAGCCCCCTGAAGATGTTGATATTCCATTTTTCAACAATTATTGATTTGGTAAGGCCAGCAAATTTTTCTTATTAGTCCATTCTATAAAACATTTTCTAAAGTGGTAACACAGCGTTATATTTTCATGGCTTTTGTCAATGTAGATTGATAAGAATTAATTGTTTAAAGTTTGCAAATTTCAATTAAAAGGTATAATATATTAATATATAACCCGGCCAAAGGCTCTCCTAAGTTTGTAAAGACTAGTGATGCCCCTATTGATAAGTAAAGTTTGTTAAAATATTAACTGTAATATATCCTAACTGACAAATTTGTCTGTAAAAGTGGCATTTTACTTAATATTTTGTAACCAATTCTATATGTCTACTTACTTTTTATAAGAAATTTCTTATACCTGTTTGTTTTAAGAAGCGGCATGATAATTCAATTATAATATAAATAATATAGTTGATTAGTGATTTTGAACTCAGCTAATTACAATAAAAATAATTTAAATAATAAAAATTAATTAATCTTCAACTGTTAATGCTAAATTGATATTTAGACATTATGAGTGATATTGATATTCATTTTACATAATTTGATTGCAAGCTGACATAGTGAAAATGTAATTTATATCTATTTATCTAATTTAAAAATTAGAATAGCGCTCATGTAATAAAAATTTAGATAGGATTATTAATGATTGCAAATTTTATATTGCTGATAATATTAAGCAGATAAAATAATCTTTAATTTCCTTTTAAAAATAAATAATAAAATAAATATATAATACCTAATAGAATTATAAAAGAAATTGTTCAGGGGGATATCAAAAAAATATCACATTACTACGGGAAACTTTTATTATATCGAAGTTTAGCGAGTCTGACCGTAACCTCGTAATGATATAAAAAACACTTAGAAGAGCCTTTCGACATAAATACTAATATAATACTTTTATATATATTTTGTTATAGTATGTTTATTTAAGTGGTCCCTACACTTTTTGAGATGTGGAAGCAGATAACCCACTGAAAATTACAATCACCCCCCTCCCCCAGTCTTCCAAAGAATGGTTAATTATTTTTTGACATCCATAAATTTCAAAAATAATTTTTATTGCATCAATCTTTAATATATAATATAAATAAAATGTAAAAAAATTTATACTTTAAAAAAATTCTTTTTAAATTAATAATTTAGACAAAAGCAAAAGAATTTATGAATATTTAATTGTTTAAATAATTTTTTTCATTGATAAAATGGTTAAATTAATAAGAAATGGATCTTTCATGGCACTAAGAAGTCTTGTTATAATTGATTTAATTTTACTCATGACCCTTTCGGCAGTACATGAGGTAGTAATGGTAAATAAATATTTATATAAAATTGTTAAATTAGTGAAAGCAGAAAAATTTTAAAGTAGACGAAAAATCATAAGTCTCAGAATTATCATCATTAGAAGAAGAATTAGCTAAATAATGAATTAGTAAAAATATTTTAATTAAATAAATTTACAATTCTCAGAATCTGACAAATCTTTAGATTCTTTAACCTCTAGGTCACGTGTAATAAATTCTCCCTTTTAGCCAACTTATAAATATTTCGAAACTTCAACGTCTTCAAAAATTGACTTGAATTTAAATGGTAATATATTCAGAGATATCCTTGATATCATCTATAACAATTGAATTTTCTGCCATTCTCTTTGGTGTACAAAATGATGTTTGATTTAAAAATTCATGTATTCATCATTAAATTTTTCATTAAACTACATAATAATCAAGTCAAGTGCATAAAACACAGTAGTTTTTAAACTAAAATAAAATATTATATTTAATTATGAAAGTATATATACCTCTCATTTTTGGATATATTTGAAGTCTAGAACTTTCAAAATCAAAAGGTTCTTCTTCGTAGAATCTTGTGCCTTTGAAAAAATATCCACAAATTCATTGTTATTATCTATCAGGATTAAAAAATAATAAAAGACAATAATTTAATTTATACCTCAAATTAATCAGGCAATCTTTTGCCAATTGAATTTGATTTATTGTAAACCCTATATCCATAAAAATGGTTTGCAATTTTGTACAAGCCAAGCTTGTTATTATCAATAATTTATCCAAAACACAATGTGATAAAATAAATTTTTTCTATTCTAAAGACTATAGCACTAACCATAGTGGAAGTGGTAGGATCTTCAGAATTCTTTATAGTTGTCAAAGCTGCCCTCAAGGCATCATAAAGTATTAAAAAATTTGCAATCGGTTTATATGATGATAGCCAACTTCTATAATTATAAAATAAACATTTTAAATCTAAACAAATAAAATAATATTACCGAATGGTATTCCTGATGCGTAAGAATCGTTGTGATTTTGTCAGTACATTACTCTAACATGCTTTGGGTACCACATATCTTTTAACACCCTTAAAATATACATAAATCCCGTCTAATATTCCTAAAACATTTCATAGTTCTTTTATTGATTGACATTGAACAATGTTTAAATTTAATCAATGACAATAGTACTAAATAAAAGCTGCCTTTGACGCCTCCGTATTCAAAACCTGCACTCCATTCATTGTTCCACTCATCTATGAGGCGCCATCATAGCTTTGCACAACTACGAATTCAGGGGGTAGGTTCATGGAGCCAAGTTTAAATATTATATTCTTTTTAATATCGAAACCAGTTTTTTCTCCCTTCTTCTTTCTTCCATTTTGATTAAAGGTTCAGAATCTGCAATGAGTTTAATAAGGCCTGTCATATTGCCTTCTTGTTGCCTGTTTCCCCGAAGGCTTGGTTACGAGATATTAAATAACCTAGACATCTAATTATTATTCTTATGATAGAGTTTAAATTGTAATATGAAAATTTTTATTGTGAGAAAGTTATAATCGGCCATCATATGTGCCTGTAAAGATTCATGCATAATAATATCACGATTAATATTTTGCCATTTATTTATACCTTATTAACGGAATCACAAGGTCAAGTCCGATATCATAAACCAGAAATCAGCTTTTTTAGAGATTTTTATCTTTGATTATTTAATAAGATTTGAAATTGTCTAACATTATTAAAATGATAGCAGAAAGAAAAACATGCGTTAGAAATACAGTTAAAACCGGATAATTGCGAAGCGTTGGGACTATTTTCTCACTTATCCGATTTTTCGCAATTAAAAGACTTAAATTTTAATAATTTTTAGTATATAATCAATTTTGTGTTGCTAATATAATATATTATATGCAAAATATATTAAATTTGTTATATAATTATATGATTATTAATATTAAGATAATAATTAAGGAATAATAAATGTTAAGATTTTTTTTTAAATGACTAAAAATATTTTTTGGCAATTTGTGTCTAATCTGTGAAATAACATATGATAAATTTAAAGCTCAGTTATATTAGTTACCAAAATTGATTCATTTAAAACATCTGCTCTCCAAGAATTTAAAGTAGAGATAATGGCGAAGATTTTCCGGTTCATTTTTTGGAAGAATATGACTTAACAAATAAAATGGAATTTTGATGTCTATGGATTCAAATATTCTTAAATCACTCTTTATCATGAAAATGGTTATTCAAGACTCAAAAACAGATAAGATTTATATTTCTTTATAATAATAATTACTAAATTACTATTACAATATCGGAAAGGGTAAGTTCCACTAATTTAGTTAAGCAACAACTGGGTACAAGGTTTGTTGGTATCCTTGAGAAAAAAAATCGGCATAATTTTATGAAGGGTGGGCCTTCATAAAATTCACGTTCGCTCATTTTGGGCAGGTCTAGATAAGATAAGAAGAGTTACCAAAATAACAGGTTATATTCTCGCAGCCAGTCGTATGTAACTTATTTATATATAAAGAGAGATTTTAAGATGAGATGTAAATTTGTATAAATAGTGATT